GCAAGTGTACCAGCGAGAGCGGGAAGGCTGTGAAAAAGAGGGACATCCAATTCCTATGATATTCGAAACAAAAATAAGCAATTCATACATATGGTACAATGTTACAACAATTACTAAACTCACATTACCTCCATAACAACAGACAACATGCCCAACATTCTTGAATGTGTCTGATATGTTTCTTTGCTTGACTCTTTGACATGTTCTAACATTCTACGAACAAACTCTTTATCATGAATAGAATGCGACCATATTGGACCACCTACCTAATTTAATAGAACAGAAATGAATTAATAATATTTTTGCGCAATGATTATCCATAAGAATTATGTCATTATACAATCATACATGAAACTTATTTTCACAATATTCACAATTACTATTCACAATCGGTCCTGTAATTGGTACAAATGAGTTTTTTCCGGTTACTTTTGCAAGTGGCTGCGTATGGTAGGAGTGACAACCAGTGCATACATAGAGCATTGACGTTTTGCTTAAAGATTAATCGATATTATATAGTTTAATCACTGTAGAAAAAAATGAAGTGTAAAATTTATATATATTAAAAATTATTTACCAGGGATTTTTTTTTACTTCAACAGGTGATGTAATGACTCGAACGAAAATACGAATATAAAAGTCAATGCTGCAACATAATAATGGGATGATATGACGACGATATTTAGCAGCAGATGTTGAAAGTGTATGAACGAGAATGCGGAGCGCCTTCAAATTTGAATGGATAAATGATTAGAATATATATGTTTTCTATGTTGGTCTATAAATTTATGGAAATGAAGATAGTGGCCGAACCATTTCATGACAGAATTCTCCTTTTACAGGGATTGAACCGTAGTTTGCATAACTAATGTAAAACAACAATATTAATCCAGGATGAATTAAACACCGAAATGCAACAATTCAATGGTTTTTATTTACCATTTTTCAGGGTAATTTGAACCAGTAAGATTGGCCAAATCAGTACAAGTAATACAAAGAAGGCCTATGAATTAAAAACAATAAATCAAGGAAATGAAAAACGTAACTAATGTCGATTACTGCATTATTTTATACCTCCTTCTTTTACAGCTTGCACAGCACCATCTATGAATGGTGCTGCTGTTCCATATGGATCAAGGTCAATAACATCAAATTGATCAGGAAAGTTTCGATGTTGATACAATACGGAACTTAAATTTAACAGAAATTCTAATATATATTAAATTAATATAAATCTACGATATATAACATTTAAAAAGACCAACCAAGCATCTCCCTGGTTTGCTCTAACAAAATCTTTGCTTAATTCATTATACTCTACATTTCTATTAATCAAATTCACGGCATCAAGATCTAAATCGTTAGCAACTATATACTTAATATTGGAAAGTTCCTTTGCGTAACGAATTGATCGCAATCCACTAGCTGCCAATGCTTCTAAAATAGTGAAAGTATATGCTGTCTTATATGATGGAGCATTAAGTAAGTGAACGATTGAAACAAATTGCTCACAAAGACCAGTAGACAAAGTGAATTTGAACGGAACGAACCTTGGAACTTGCTATCTTGTCATTATCGAAAACAATTTAACACATTAATATTTATTATTTGAAAGAAATCAAATTGAGTTAAAGTGTGTGCCTATTACATTGAGTTTTTATATCTGAATCCTTCTTTTGCTGCGCCTTTTTTTGTTTTTCCTCTGAAAATATCTCACTCCAGATTTTAATAGCCGCGATAGATAAATCACGATTAAATTGTTGAACATTGTTGTAAAATACTTTGTTATTTTTGGGGAAAAGAATGCTGGCTTTTCCTTCTGTAATTACACCATATTCACTATCCAATTTGTCCGTCTTTTCAGATCCAACAGACATGAAAAATCTAGTTTGCCAATTTTTGACGGCTAAAATGTACTTTAAAAAAAATCTTTTTTGTGACTTTGCACGAATTGCAATCTCACAAAGAGTAGAATGAAGAGGCATATACCATATAACGCTACGGCATCTATTGCAACGTGAACTTCCGAATTGGGGTCGTCTAAAGCGGAGTATATTCACGTGATAGACAACCAATCAGATTACAGAAATTTGATGAAAATAAAGTTGGGAAGGCAATTTTACATATCGTAAATGTGAAAAATAAGCACAGAATCCTCTGCCCTACATTTTTCAATCTCAGATTGAAGGCAATAACAAGATTTTATTGCCATTTCCACTAATTTGAGATTGAAAAGGTAGGTAGAGTGGGATGTTAGAGTTAGAAGGCTTTACTTATTTGTGCCGGTAAAGCGAGTTCGTAGCATAAATGTCCGTGGAAACGTGACTTTAAACCAATTACGACACTGGGTCAGGTTTAACGTGAAAACTTAACAAAAAAAAAATTCCTTGCAAAATTTTGCTACGTACGTATTAGAATGTATGTACGTACGTAAAAATTGCGAGAGGAACATTTTTTGTTATGTTACACGATGGGTTACGTAAAATTTTGAGATACGTACGTACGTATTAGCGTTAGCATTTTTTCAAATTTTATTATACGTAGGGGTGAGACTCACCCCGGATGAGCAATAAATGTACCCGTACGTACGTACGTACGTACGAATTTGAAAGTCCCCCATTAAAAATTAAAAAAGAAATTTTCAAGATTTCAAAATTTTAAAATGAAGTTTTCTATTACCAAATTTAAACGAAGTTTTCTTGGCAAACCGAAAATTTTGGAAACTTCCCTGCTACTAATGCAGCAAGGATCACCAATTCTAAGTATAATAGTACAATATTTCTGCAGATCAGTATAGTATAGATGAGCAAGATCAGTATAGGCTAATTGTATGTGAGAAAAGAAGGTTGATAACAAACAAGCAAATACTGTATAGCCAATAAAAATTTCAGTTATCCAATCTAAAGATATTCATAATAATCATTGATTCGCTAAACCATATTTGAAGTTGTGCATTTTGTAATACATTTTGTGTTTCACAGCCTGTTTAGGGCAAAACGAATCGTCTATTGAGAAATTAAAAATTAAATATACTTCTTATCGCTTGTATGTAGCTTATAATATCTATGACCCCTCGACGATCTTCAGAATTGGACGTCACACCACCTTTACCACTTCGTACTCCTACTCCACCAGGTCACTCGCTCACTGGTGAGAGTAATAAAAGGAAAAAATCCCGTGAAGAAAAAGACTCTTTTTTTTCTTCTTGGTTTTTTGGATCAAGTTCTCGACCCTCTTCACCAAGCCATGAGTCTGGACCTCAGTCTATGAGTAACGCACCAGCCAGATCTAAAGGAAAAGCTCATGCACGTAAACTTTCGGCTGGCAACTTAAAAGCTGCACTAACTGTACCTAATGAAGGCGAGCCAAGGAGAAAATCCTTTGATTATTTTCCTCAGGATATAAGTGCACGATATTTACCCCCTCCAGAAAATTTACCCAATTTACCCCCTCCAGAAATAGCCCCATTTGCGTATCAGAGTGTTAATCAGTGTGAAGAAAGTGAAAAAAGTTCATTTATAAGTTCGTTTACTGAACACCGACGGAAAAAGAGCTCAGATAGCGATTCTCTTAGTGTGATATCTTCCATTAGTAATATCACATCTAGCAATATACCTATTCATACTATTCATAAGGAAGAAAAAGAAAAAAAAAAGACTATTATATTTAATCTTTTCAGGAAAGGCTCCAAGGAAAAAGAGCCATCGGCGCCTGAAGGTTTGTTTGTCCGATCCGTGAGTGACCTCTTTCATGCGCATACATGTCTATAATACCTTGTCACAACTTGCGCGTATATAATTATTTTTCAATGTTTCATGTTTTCACGCGCATATAGCTTTTCGTACACGCATATATTTTGTCAAAATTATATCTTTATTTATAAAAATTTAAATTCCGATTAAATAAATTTACAGGGTTATCTCGTAAAAATACAGAGTATTATCTGAATCTTTCACCTTACGACCAAAGAGACGATCATGTTTCATCTAAGAATCATTACAAGAGCGTGAAGCACAAAAAGGAACATAAATCATCGAAAAAGCATAAGGTATTTATGTTTATATAAATAAAATTTGTAGTAAAAAAGTGTTTTATTTATATTGTTTTTAGATTGGTTAAAAATAAGAAATTTTTAAATCTAAATATTTCTATTACTCATTTATTTTTAAGGAACTTGCTGCATGCGAATCGATAAACTGTAATTACATTAATCTATTTCTTTGTTTCAAAATAACAATTTCACAAGTATTCTAACAATTTTTATTTAATTTAGTGAACTTAGATGACATGAAAGATATCATAAAAACTGAGCATCGACACTCAGGTGTACCTTCTTTTAAATCATTTGATGAGTTGTCACAAGAAAACCCAACTATAGAAAGGACACAATTTCCACCGAGTATAGCAGAAAATTGGACGGCTCCTGAGTCATGGGCAGTAAACTTGCCTTACGTTCATGAAATTCCGATAGAAAAAGATATTCACGTTAACATTAATGTTGAAGATAGGGATGATTCGAATAAATTAGTATGCATATTACACCATATCTCTATATTATAAAACGTTAATATTTTATTAATTTGTTTTTTCTTTTATGTAAAAGTTTTGCATTCGTATATTTCGTCCTGATGCCACCTTCGGTACAGTAAGTTGTGGATTGAACACTACTACTTCCGAATTATGCCAAATACTTGGTAAAAAATTTTTTGTTCGAGATATTTCAAAATATAATTTATATGTGATGAGGCACAATTTAGGTAAATTAAAATACCATTATTTCGGTAAATGTTAACCTTGCATTACTAATTATTCTTTTACTTGCTTATTAAGAACGTGTACTAGGATCTCATGAACGGCCATTACAATTACAAAAGAGATGGTTAGAACAAGCGGGATATACTTCAAATGATAATTTGGAGGACCTTGGCAGGGAGGATAACAGCTACTTAGTTCGCTTTACTTTCCGTGAAACTACTGTACCAAGATTTGAAGTATGTTTAATTAATCCTTAACATTTTTAATAATGAATAAATTAATTGATTAATTACTATTTTTTATTATCAATTAATTAGGAAGAAGGCAACTTATATACTTTTCAAAAAGTAGATCTTCAATCTCGTAATTTACAGACAATACCTATATTTCTTTATCGACAAGCTTATAATATCCGATCTTTAAATGTTTCACAAAATCTAATGCTCGATCTTCCTATGGATTTCATACAATCTTGCACACAGTTACGTGACCTCAACCTTTCACAAAATGACTTGGAACGTGTTCCACAATCAATTAAACAATCAGAAATGCTTTCTTTTCTTGATCTAAATTCGAATCGCTTGAAAGATTTGGAACATGGATCATTAGAAATGATTGGGGAACTAACAAATCTTCAAGTTGAAAACAATTTGTTACAGGGATTACCTGAGAAATTTGCTGCCTTTACCAAATTAAATATTTTGAATGTTGCCAACAATTCGTTCTCAGGCTTTCCTCAAGTTATTTGCACTATTGTGACGCTTTCGGAACTGGATTTGAGTTATAATAAAATAACTTCCATACCAGAAGCAATTGGAAAACTTATCAACCTTAAAAAGTTGTTCCTCATTGGAAATCAATTAACAGATAAATTACCTGAAAGTTTTCAAAATCTAATTTCATTGCAAGAATTGGATATACGTAGAAATCAGATAACGAGTCTTGACACGATATCTTTAATTCCCAACCTTGAAATTCTCCTGATCGAATACAACAGCGTACTGACGGTGGAAATATCTTCAAAATCGTTGCAAAAACTCATTCTGTCTAAAAACCAACTTACTCATTTCTCGTTGAAAGAAACAGAATCTTCTTTAATAGAACTTTCATTGGCAAATGCAAATCTTGTTACATTACAAAATGATCTGTTCGAACGTCTTTTGTCTGTTCAAAAGCTTGATCTTCGTAATAATAAGCTAACATCGATTCCAACGACAGTTGGGTTGATGACGAATTTAACACATTTAACATGTATATCTAATACTCTTCGCACGTTGCCAAGTGAAATTTGTTCTTTAGTCTCTTTACATACATTGGACATTCATTTCAATCATCTTGTTTCTTTACCACAAGAGATTTGGCTTTGTCGAAGTTTAGCCACTTTAAACGTTAGCTCAAATCTATTAGAGCAATTTCCAGCCCCTCCAACCACTTCATCGCCTGATCCTCCTCCACTCGTTCACTCACTTCGTAATCTGTATCTATGCGATAACGCTCTTACTGCTGGAATATTTAATTTCATTTCTTTATTTTCTGAACTCGAAATTTTGAATATCTCATTTAATTTTTTAGACGAAATTCCTCCAGGAAAACTTTCTAAAAATTGTCATTTAACAGAATTGTATCTTTCTGGGAATCAATTGTCATCGCTTCCAGAAGATATTGAAAAGCTAACTAATCTAAGTGTTTTACACATAAACGGCAACAGGCTGACAACATTGCCCGCAGAATTGAGTAAAATAAGAAAGTTGGTAGTTCTTGACGTAGGGAATAACTTGCTAAAATATAATATTGCGAATTGGCAATATGATTGGAATTGGAACTGGAATCTTGAGCTTAAATACCTCAATCTCTCGGGTAACAAAAGATTTGAGATAAAATATGTACACCAAAATGAAATCAATCCACTTCAAAGAAATCGGAATTTGGCAGACTTTGAAGACCTTACTGATTTGAGAATTCTTGGTCTTATGGATATAACACTTTTAAATTTTTTGCTTCCTGAAGAAACTGATAATCGTCGTGTTCGGACGTCGGCTCCAGTAGTAAATTCTATGCGATATGGTATGGCAGATACACTAGGAAAATCAGATAATCTTTCAATTTGGGAATCTGTAACGCCAAAGTTTCGTGGACGTGAAGACGAGTGTATTTTTGGGCTTTTTAATGCCCGCTCCGGCTCCGATCAAGGTGTTCGAGTTACTAAATATTTACGTGATTGTTTCCTGTTCCACTTTGAAACTGAGCTCAATAAGTTAAGAAACAGTGGAGACAGTGATTTGGTAGAGTCGGCTTTACGAAGGTCTTTTTTGAGTTTAAATAAAGAACTTGGTTCAAAGGTCTTCAACTCAAGTATGGAAATGACAGAAAACGGATATCACCACTCTTCGCTAGGTATTGATGACAATAAGTCTGGCGCCTCCGGGTTAGTTGCTTATATTTCTGGGACAACATTATATGTTGCAAACGTTGGTGATACTGTGGCAGTTATCAGTCGTAATAACAAGGCATGTCCGGTTGCACAATGTCCAGAAGTTTTTGGTGAAATTGAAAGAATAAGGCAAGCTGGAGGGTATATGTCACACGATTGCCTTGTCAATGGGGAACTGGATGTATCTCGGTCATTTGGACATTTTCATTTAACACCAATTATCAACGCTAATCCTGTAACAGAGGTAGTTCAACTCTCGGAACAAGACGAAATATTAATTCTTGCTACTCGAGAATTATGGAAATATGTAAACTATCAAGTTGCGGTTGATATAGTTATAACACAAAAGGAAAATCTCATGCTAGCTGCCCAAAAACTGCGAGATTTCGCCATTTCCTATGGTGCTGATCAAAATATCATGGTAATGATTATAGGGGTTGGGGATTTGTTTGACCGTCGTCTCTCTAAGCGGATAATAGGGACCGAAAGAATAGATGATGTAGGTACAGTAAAATTTTTTGTTAGCAGAAGAAGAAGAGATGAAATATCGACACAGTTAGGAGCAGAAATTGCACCACCGACAGGACAAGTAGCGCTAGTTTTTACTGATATAAAAAACTCTACATCTCTTTGGGAAACAAAATCAGAAGCAATGCGTTCCGCAATTAAAACTCATAATCAAATCATGCGCAGTAATCTACGCAAAATTGGTGGTTATGAAGTAAAAACTGAAGGAGATGCCTTCATGGTATCCTTTCCGACAGTAGCATCAGCTCTTTTATGGTGTCTTACTGTACAAATTGAACTTTTAAAAGCTGATTGGCCACCAGAAATTATTAAGTCAGACGATGGAAAGGAAGTTTTTGATAGGCATGATAAAGACTTATTGATATATAGAGGTTTATCTGTTCGAATGGGCATACATTGGGGTAACCCAGATTGTGAAATGGATATATTAACAAAGAGAATGGATTATTTCGGACCTATGGTTAATAAAGCTGCAAGAGTCTGTAATGCGGCAGATGGTGGGCAAATTTTCGTGAGTGCTGATGTAAAATCAGAAATTGATGGTTTCATAGATGATCCCGATAGGAAAAATAGTATTGGAGGCGATGATGAAATACAGGGGTCATCTAGTAGCGGCTTGGATAAGAATTTGAAGGAATTGAAGAAAATGGGATTCGTTATAACGAACATTGGCGAAAGAAAGCTTAAAGGACTAGAGCACACAGAAATGCTATCATTAGTAAGTGATTGAAGTTTATGAAGCACAATTATTTATTCATCATACTTTAATGGAGAATATTTTTTTCATAGGTTTATCCGGAAAGGCTTAAAGGTAGATTAAATGAGGATTTGATGAAATCTAGGAATTCTTTAACAGTTACAGAAGTAAATATTTGATTACACACTCTTTATATATATATATATATATATGTATTTATATATGTTATTTTAAGTTGATTTAACATTTCGGGGTTTTTTTTCATAACAAAGAATTATGAACCTATTGCACCCACTCGATTAGTTAGTCCATCATCTGTACGCAATCTTGGATATCTTTGTCTTCGCCTTGAACGTGTGGCATCTGGAAATGTAAGCCATCGTACTTCTCGAAATTCAAAGATAGATCATTTGACTGGATTGTTAACATTCCATGTTAAGGATAATGCTGATGATGAAGCGTTATTGAGAATAATGGAGAGCCTGATTACACGGATTGAGGTATATATATGTTATTATGTGATGTAGTTGAATAATTATTAAAATCCTGTCTTTTAACCTTTTAGAATGCGATATCAACTTTATATCTTAATAAAGTTGGAAGGTTTGCTCGTGTCCTTGAAGAGCTCGGAGATGCACTTTCACTTGATCCAGATCATATTGTTCGTGCTTTACAGATGTATGCACAAGTGACAAAGATGTCAAAATAAAATCAAATATCGGATGTGCACGTTGAATTGTTGAATTTAAGGACGCCAGAATTAACATTAAAACAAAGACATTTACTAATATTTTACTACCTAATTTTTTACTGTTGGACTTTTTAAATTATACTTTTATGTGACATGTAAACTTTGATCAGAAAATATATACGAATTTTTGGTCAGATAATTTCGTACCACAACATTTGAAATATATATATTAGTAATGTTTTAGCACAAAATAATGTTATATATTTCGATTGTAATTCCGTAGAATTCTTTAAAAGAATTTTGTATTTTAGCTTTCAGGTTTTACATTAACAGGATTTAAAAATTTTTACTTGCAAAGAAAAATGAATTTTTTTTAATACTTTTAATGAATTTTGCTTTTTTTTTTCTTTTTTTTTTTTTTTACACATTGCTTTATATTAATATACGTATTTCTAATGCCAAATTGTTTTTTAAATGTAAATATAATTTTAATTTTAGTACACAATTGGTAGAACTGAGATGGATAATGTACAGCTTTTTGATAACCAGAATGAAAAAGAGATGTTACATGGAAACATTGGCCCGTTCTTAGGCTGAGAAATGATCACATCCTTGCATCTTCTCAAACCACAATAATTTTTGTGCAGGAGCATTGGATGGTGTAAGACACTAACTTTAAATAACCAGGAATCGGAAGCTGATGTAAGTCCGTACATAAAAATAGCTTTATTAAACTTTCTTATTTTTTATTTAATTCATCGCGATTGTCTTATTCGTTGATTTGGTAATTTCGCGAACCCTGATGTAAAATTAAAAAAAATAAATAAACCATTTTAAGGTAGAAGCATCAAATAAAGAGGTAGCGTGAACCCTTATATCACATTTCTACATGATCACATTAAGGATGGTATTTGTGCGGTTTACTTATCTGTGCCGGTAATACAAACTCTAATGTAAGCTACTGTAGATCATCACATGACAATAAAATTTTATGGCGAAACTTTCATTTTTAATACACCTGCACCCAGTGTTGGCATTGGACATATGTCTAATGCCAACACTGCCTGCACCTACTTTTTTGACACTTTTAGATATATCCCAAAATTTTTATACTTGTTTGCTACTCATCAAAAATTCACCCACGTGATGATCGACACAGCAAATAGCGTAACGTAACACAATCTGAAAAATTCAAACCATTCAAACCTTTTTGAGAAATTTTGGGGTACATCTAGGAGTATCAAAAAAGTAGGTGCAGGTGTATCAAAAATGAAAGCTTTGCGCCATGGCTAGGGTACTCTATGTTTCAGCTACGTACGTACGTACGTTAATATTGGTGCACATCCATCAGTTAAACATTAACCTAATATAGTGGCAAGTAATGATTCGGTCAATTAGCTCATGCCTATTTGTAAAAATCTATCTGATGAGAACATTCGTAGATTGACAGATTCGAGAAGCATTTAGATTAAAATTTCAATTTTTTTTTAATTAAGAACATAAATTGTAATACGTATACAGAACGAATTCAAGAAACAGAAAAAATATATCTATTCACTTTTATTGATATAAATAAAAATACATAATAGTAATGTAATAAAAACTCTGAATTTTAAAGTTTGAATAAAATTATACAAATTCAAAAAACAGGATTACTTGCTAAAACTTTCTTATGATTAGTAGGATTCAAATTCAATTTAAAGTTTGTTTATATCAACAAGCATTGAGTTATCGTCTTTATTGAAAGAACGAGTGTGTTATCACAAGTTATAAAATTTGTAATACAATTCTTATTTTACTGTATATTCTTATATGAACACTCTATTTCGCGCACGTTATTGGATAACTTCTAACACATCAATTTCATATTGTTTAATCTAAACTCTAACTACCGGTACACGTACTTTTTTAGGTGAAGAGTTTGACTTTCGACAGAAATTATGGGAAAATGGTTGAGTTAATAGCTGATATGAACTTAGAGTAATAATAGTAGAATTTACTCTTTCCTATATAAATAAATTATTTAGAGAATAAACTATGGAACAACTTGTTTAAAGACAACTTACCAATAATGAATATAGAGTAGATACTACAGTGATGATGTTTAAAAAATTCGCATTTTCTGTTGGGAGCAATAATTTTGATAATTGATAACACCGGTATAGACCGTCGTACGCTAAATCCATACTAAAAATTTTAATTTCGTTCCCTATTTGTTTTATATTTGATTAGCTTGGTAATTAAACAGCTGAATTATTATAGTGATGGCTTACCACAAATTAGTATACCATACGTTTCCAGACCAAACACATTGCCATAAATATTAATCATAAGATCCAAAGACCCTTTCATGAATTCAGCCAATTTTATTATGCTTCTGTTTGCAGTATCGGTGCAATGCGGTGGCTTTATTTCGCCAAAGACAAGTTCATCAATCGTTGAGAGGATACGGAAGTCTGGTTTTCTACCATGGTTGTGACCATCCAATAAACGTCTTGCTTTAGAACTTTCAGATTCACCATTGGCCCTTTGTTTTCAATAATGAAAACGGAAGTATATATTAATGTAGTCAGCATACTACTGTATAATAATTACATGAAACTTACCAAATCAACGAGTATTCAGTTTTACTGAATATTTCTTCGAGAACTTGATGACAGTATCGATGAACGAATGTATCTTCGTCCAATTTTTTATCCTCATTATAACTTACTGAGGATAAATAGGTAAAACTACAATGCAGTAGAAATAAGTACATAATATAATATCGTTACAACTATTTCGTTAAATTTAGAACTTACAAGCTTCTCGAAACTATCTGCAGAAGATATCTTTGTCTTCCTCTGTCGGAAATTCATTTCCTTTTGCCCAATTTTCACGCCATTTTGATTTAAGTGATTGTTTGTCATTCAAAAGCTAATATACCAATAAACAAATTAATGCATTTGCTGATCGCTCATTAATAGCATTAAGGAAAATATTTACTGTATTGTATTCGATTATTACTGAGTGAGCCATTGTTGGCAACATCTTCGGTGCTAAAGATCTTGGGAGAGCTTCCTTCCATGCTTTTTTAGAACATTTTACATATTCTGGCTTAAATTCATTACAATACATAAATGACGATAGACACCTGCGAGTATATATGAAGTTAGTCAAAATTCTTTAGCTTTGCATAAAAAAATACTTACAATATCATATCAACTTCTTTCACATATGATAAATTCGGGTTGGCTTTCAGTTTTTCAATCGAAGTTAATTGAAAGTTACGAAAATCGACAGAAATGTTGTGCCTGTCCCGTGTTAACCACTATATAAAAGAGAAAGGGTTTTTAGACTACGCCAAGATAAAGATACCGAAAAATGAATATTTCTCAACTCTTACATCATTTTTAGATCCATTTTTTATTAACATATTATCTATTGCGTGGCTCCACGACAAGGCGAACTTGAAAAATATAAATCAAATTAGCTAATGTCAAAGTTTTGATTATTATTTTTGAAAGATCATATTAATATTTATTAATAAAACCTTATATTTTACTGAATTCACCCCTGTCGTTTCTATGAAGGGATTATCGTTGCCTTTGTGTGTTGTCGCCACATCGTGGTCATTTGACTTTAAGAAGGAAGACCAAACAGATTAGAAATACGGCAAACAAAACAAAAATCAATATAACCTTATCTAAAGAACTTACCGATACTTCTACGCTTTGCTCTAAAAGATCTAGACTATCGTCATTTTCACGCTTTATTTCTTCATCGTGATCGCTTGACTTTAAGAAAGCAGACCATAATACAGATTAGG